GCTTTCTCAGCGAGGGTGTAGTTGAGTTCAGCTGCCTTCAGCATCCAACCAGACATAGTATACCGGCTTCTGAGTATTACCTTTCTTTTGAATTAAGACAGAGCTGATAGCTTCGGGGAGATGGTCATGTAGAGATATAAGATCTCCCTTTCTCTGGCTTGGCTCAACAATGGTTTGGTGCTCAAGATCTCTTGAGGTCCCTAAAGGCCTCGTTGCTTCCAATCGTCCAGCCCATGCATTCCTTTAGCTCCTTACTTCCTATCAAAGTTTTGAAGAATGAGAGGTTTCTCTCAACAAAATTTGAGGGGAAATGACCGAATGCCACTATTTTTCAATCCAGCCTCTAGACATCCTTCAGTGTGCGGGGTTCAGGTAGCTATTCTATGGTGGCTATCTTCATGGGGTTGATTTCATTGCGTCGCTGAGTAATTATGAACCCAAGGAATTTGCTCAAATTTACTTAGAAAGCACTTTAGGCCATATTAATCTTCATGTGGTAGCGTCAGAGGGTAGAGAAGGTCTCTTCAAGATTCGACATGTGAGACGACACCTATTTTGACTTCACAATGATGTCGTCCAGTAGGCTTCCATACTGCAGCTGATTTGGTGCTTGAAGATCTTATTAACCAACCTCTGGTAGGTGGCGCCTGTATTTTTAAGATGAAAACACATCACCTTGTAGCAATAGGTCTCTAGGTCCGTAATGAATGAGGTCTTCTCTTGATCATGCTCCACCATAAGGATCTGGTTCTAGCCGGAGAAAGTGTCCATGAAACTGAGTAGTTCATGACCCGCACTCTCATCATAAGCTGATTAATCTTGGGCAGAGGATAGCTGTCCTTTGTGCAAGCTTTATTCAGATCTGTGAAGTCCACACACATCCTCCATTTGCCAAGAGGCTTCTTCACCAGCACCACATTGGATAGTCACTCCATGTATTGCACTTCTCTAATGAAGTCGGCTTTAAAAAGTCGGTCAACTTCATTAGCAGCCACCTTCTGCCTCTCGAAGCTAAGTTGGCTTTTATTTTGTCGAACCGGCTTAGTATGTCGGCCAACTGATAGCTCATGGTTTGCTACTTCAGGGGGTTATTCCTGGCATGTCTTTGGGCCTCAAGCAAATACATCCGTATTCTCGCGTAGGAATGCGATCACAGCTCATTAGGGTTCAACGAAGCTCGCCCTGATCTTGATCTTCTTCACCCCATCCAGGTTGGTTGGTATCTCATGGGGTTCTTTGATGGGGGTCGTCCACTACCGCTAACTCTTTCTCCATTTAGAGGCATGCCTTTTTAATTGGCAGGATTTCCAGTCTTTCTTTTCCTTTCATTGAGAGCAGATAGCAGGATCTGGCCTCTCATTGGTTGGTCTTGGCAATTCCTACTCCTTTAGGAGTTGGGAACTTTACCATCTGGGGGTAAGTAGATAGGACCGCCTACAAGTTATTAAGGGGAGTTCTTCCTAAAATAATATTGTAGGCTAACTTGATGTCCATCACTGGAAACGGGGTCTGTATAGTGGATTGATGAGAGTATTCGCTGACCATTAAGGGGAGAGTGATCCTTCCCTCCAACAAGAACAAATGGCCTATGAATTCGATGAGAGGACCACGACAAGGCTGCACCTTATATTTATCAATGTCCATCTGATTAAAGGCGTCGATGAATAGGATATCAGTTGAGCTCCCTATGTCAACAAAAATCCTCTTGACCTGAAAGCCGTTGATTTCGGCTGAGGTGATAAGAGGGTCATCATGAGGTATCTTAACACCTTTCAAGTCAGAATTGTCAAAATAGATGGAATGATCTGTCATCGGCTTCTTGTCGCACATGTTGACTTGCAACACTCGTCTGGCATACTTCTTACGAGCATTTTTTAGACATCCCTCCTGCTGTAGGGCCGTCGTTGATAGTGTTAATGATGCCCCTATCAACAGGTCAGGTGTCAGGCAGTTGCTGAAGTTAAGGTGATCTGGAGCGAGACCTCTTGTTGGATCTCCCAGGAGTGGGTCCTCTCCTCTCCTGGTGAGAGACAAGCTTCACCAAGAATCCCCTATGTATTAAGTCCTTAATACCTCTCTGTAGAACTCGACAATCATTGGTATGAATGTCATGATCTCGATGGTACTGACAATATAGCCTGGTGTCTTGAGATCAAGGATCTAACTTTATGTGAGGAGTAGCAGAATTGAGATACAGCTCTCTCTGGAGCATGTAAAGGGTTTCCGCGAGAGAAGTGTTGAAGGTAGTGACGGTCGGCTTCTTGGTGGCCTCCTTCCTTCGATTCCTCTTTTCAGCCCCTTCACTTTAGCTACCCTGGCCGCCTTCTTATCAGCCCGAGCGTCTTCCACATCTGTGTACCCATGCACCTTGGCCATTAACTGCTCATAGCTGGTGACTTGTTTTTTTAAGAGTGAGTCAACCGGCTTATTGTTCTTCAACTCGACCACGACAGTAGACATGGCGACCGCGCTGCCAGGATCCTCGACTTCCAGTCTTTTTGTGTGGAATCTCTTAAAGTAGTCTCTAAGGTTTTCTCCAAGCTACGTCTCATCTGAAGCAATACATGGGGAGGCAGCTTCTACTTTGTGTCGTCCAAGAAGTGATGCACAAATTTCTGGCTGAGCTGCTCAAAGATATTGATGGACTTTTTCTCCAAGGAGTTCCATTGTAGCTTGGCGCTTCCCAACAAGGCAATGAGGAAACACCTATAGATGATTGGCTCTGACGCTTATAACATGGTCATCATATCATAATAATTCTGAGCATGCTCAACTGGATCTCCTTCGTCCTTATACTTCTCCATGTGAGACATCTTGAATTTATCACAAGTAGCATTCATGATCCAATCGGAGAGGGGAGTGTGCCCCCATAGCCTCAGTGATTGGCTGGAAGATCCGATCATAACCAGACGTAAGGTTGGTGGTCGAGGGGCCTGGAGCGGCATGAGACCCCCGCCGATGCTGCCGAGGATGAGCTGCAAAGTGAGTTTGCTAGCGAGACGGGGGAGACACATACACGGCGTAATCTCCTTGCTATCTGGCCAGTGCAGCGCGCAGGCAGAGAAGGGATGAATGGCTGATCCATTAGGGGTGGAGAAACAAATGAGGGTTAGCCTACCAAAGGCGGAGGAGAAAAAAATGATGAGGAGGGTTATTGGGGATGAATTCGGCTGATGAGATCATTGGTGAAAGTAGCAAACTATTGCCGGAAAGACTGAGAGATCCTAAGAGTGGATTCTTCCAACTGGACCTGAGTGACATAGCTTGTGCGTTGCTTTTCAGGGAGTGGGTTGAAAGTTCGTTTAAGGCGTTCAAAACCAGACATTTCGTATAAAGAAGGATGATCGGCCCCATGGCGGGCATCAAACTGTTAATGTCAGTTATCGAATAGAGGATTTAACTGTGGATTATATGGGTATTAGGATTCTCAAACTCCTTCACATAGCCGGTTCTGGAGACCGATGTTCTCTCCTACACATGAAAAGCTCGTGATAGGCCAGAGTTGGGGTCTCCGATTGTTCCTCCGACCATCAAGTCAGCATATGAACTTGAGTGGGAAAGCAAGAAATAAGTGGTGATGAAAAAGTTCAGAGTTGCATGAAAACATAAGAAATTACCTTAGGTTGCACAACTTTCTTTTATAATAGATCGGAAGGACATATAGGTTATTTTCCGCGAGTCCAAACAGGCAGTTGAATCGGCAGGTAACTACAGGTGTCGGCTGCTGAAGAAGGTGAGTCATCCAGATGTTTAATATGAGGGCGACAGCAGGTGCTTAGTGCTGACTATGTCCGATGAGTCATAAAGACTATGAAGGCTAGAGCAATGATGACTCTGACAGCGTATTAAAGGCGAGGATAGTTGGTTGTCGGCGGGAGGTTTGAGGACACACGACATTTCTAGTCGGCTGGCTGAAGGCCGATAAACACCGTCTTTTTAGTCGGCTACGCAAGTTGCCGGCTGTAATGGCAGGCTGAGTGTGGGTCCCTGTAGCGTCGATCTGGTGGGTAGGTCGATAAACACCGTCTTTTTAGTCGGCTACGCAACTTGTCGGTCTATTGGTTCGGCCGCATGAGTAGCTCGAGTCTTCCGTCACTGAATACGTCTCATCAGGAGTGGAGCGGGACACGTGTCGGTTTCCGAATGAAGTTTAACGCTTAGTTATTTATAGGTTGTAAAACCAGTTTTTACTAACGAAAATATCTCACCCATCTGAAAATCATGATAACACTATTTAGGGGTCTTGCAGATAAAATCTTAATGTTAAGGGAGGTTTTTTGATAACCTCATTCTTACATTTTAAAAGTACTGGGGGTTATCTGAGAATCAAAGTTAAGGGGTGTTTGCTGATAATTAGTCTTTTATTAACTCAAAATTGTCCCAAAATAAAAGCTCCAAACAATTGTAAGCAAACACTTGTTAGTTGTTACCGTCTTATTTAGGCCAATTATGCGCTAAAAACTCGCAGTACATGGGGCAGACTTAAGAATCCAACAGC